CCAGCTACTCAGGAGGCTGAGGCATGATAATCACTTGAACACAGGAGGTGGAGGTTGCAGTGAGCTGAGATTGTGCCACTGCCCTCCAGACTGGGCGATAGAGCAAGATTCTTTCTCAATAAATAAAATAAAATAAAATAAAAATAAAAATTATCATCCGGGTGTGGTGGCTCACGCCTGTAATCCCAGCACTTTGGGAGGCCAAGGCGGGCAGATCATGAGGTCAGGAGATCGAGACCATCCTGGCTAACATGGTGAAACCTTGTTTCTACTAAAAATACAAAAAATTAGCCGGGCATGGTGGCACGTGCCTGTAGTCCCAGCTACTCAGGAGGCTGAGGCAGGAAAATCACTTGAACCCGGGAGGCGGAGGTTGCAGTGAGCTGAGATCATGCCACTGCACTCTAGTCTGGGTGACAGGGCGAGATTCCATCTCAAAAAAAAAAAAAAAAATCTTAATGGCTGGGCATGGTAGCTTACACATGTAATCCCAGCACTTTGGGAAGCTGAGGCAGGTAGATCGCTTGAACCCAGGAGTTTGATACCAGGCTGGGCAACATGGTGAAACCTCGTCTGTACTAAAAGTACAAAAATTAGCTGGGCATGCTGGTGTGCACCTGTGGTCCCAGCTTGAGAGGGTGTGGGAGTTCACTTGTGCCTGGGAAGTCACGGCTGCAGTGAGTGGTGATTGCGCCACTGCACTCTAGTGTGGGCGACAGGGTGAGGCCCTGTCTCAAAAAAAAAAAAAAAAATTATCCTGATGGCTCAGTAAATCCCACACACCTTTTGTGGAGGAGTGGTGGCAAAGGAGATGTAGAACAACAAAGGGGAGACCTTGATATAATACAGCAATAAACAGAACTTTGAGCTGGGTACAGTGGCTCACATCTGTAATCTCAACACTTTGGGAGGCTGGGGCAGACAGATCGCTTCAGCTCAGGAGTTTCAGACCCGCCCGGGCAACATGAAGAAACCCCATCTCTACTGAAAATACAGGTGTGGTGATGTGTGCCTGTAGTTCCAACTACTCAAGAGGCTCAGGTGGGAGAATCGACCTGATCCTGGGAGGTCATGGCTGCAGTGAGCCATGATTGCGCCATGCACTCCAGCCTGGGCAACAGGAATGATACCTTGTCTTAAAAAAAAAGAAAAAAAAAAAGAACTTAGTGGCATTCTAGGTCAATATACTGGAGTTGCTTGGAAAAAACATACTAGCTCCCAGTAAGTGGGAGGGAAAATACAATCTGATAAATTTTTAGGGAGAAGACTCTTCGCTTTGAAGGCTGTAATGTTTCCTACTCATTCCCTGGGTCCTGGCTTCATATTCCTATTCCAAACTAACTGACAGAGGTCGGGTGCGATGGCTCACACCTGTAATCCCAGCACTTTGGGAGGCTGAGGTGGGTAGATCACTTGAGGTCAGGAGTTTGAGACCAGCCTGGCCAACAGACGGGTGAAACCCGTCTCTACTAAAAAAAAAAAGAAAAACAAAAAACAAACAAAACAACAACAACAACAAACAAAACCAAACCCAAATTAACCAACAGAAATGTGACCATAATTGGATGACGATAACCATATAATCCTTTTGATATTCTAGCTGCCTTTCCCTTGCCTATGTCTTTCTTGAGGTGCAGTGATCGTAGGTATACTTAATTTGATCAATTCCTCTTATAAAAGGTAGGCTTGATTAAACTATGGGTCTCGGCCAGAACTGGCAAAAACTTAAAGACCCCTAAAGTTGTGCCATACCAATGTATTAAATATGGTAATTAAAACGATCAGTGGAGGTAGTAAGAAAACAGGTCAGGTCAACAAGAAAGAAAAGAAATGTATAATACCTTAAAATTATATACATTCAAACACATATTGTTCTCCCCAGATTAAGTCTGTCAAGTGACAGTAGTTCATACGGCACTTGCTACAACTGTAGTCTTACAAGGATAGTCTGTACTTAGGAAAGCAATTATCCCAAACCCACCATTATAATTACCTTTACCTCACACACCCACACACATATCTTACATTTTATCTTTTTAAAACCTCTCCAATAAAACCTAGCTACTGTTTTGCCTTTTGCCTTTGTTGATAATAACTCCAATGGATCATCGATAATAAATTCTCACTTGCTTTTCTTCATAGCAATGTTGGGGCTGAGAAGGATATTAATAGAATTGGCCAAGAATTAATTTAATGATTATCTGCAGATTTCAATAATCCTTATATTATTCTCTCTCTCATGTTGTTTTTTTCTGACCCTGACAGATGGAGATATTTTCTCTTCCTTCACCATATACCTTCCCTGAAGCACTTTTCATGTAGAAAAGCCAAACTATGCCATACTCAAGTAATAGCAGAATTTATGTGGATGAATTACTCATACATCAGACTAATAAGCTGCATCAAAAATAACCAACTGTCAGAGACATAAAGGAGGAAACTACTTCAGATAATTACACTTAAAACTTTAAGTGCCTTCATTTATGAGTGGCCAACGATCTAGGCAAACAAGAAATGCTGCATGGATTGACAACTTTTTAAAATAAAAAAACACTTTTGAATTAGAAGGAATAGCTACTTTTTTTTTTTTTTTTTGAGACGGAGTTTTGCTTTTGTCACCTAAGCTGGAGTAACTGGTGTGATCTCGGCTCATTGCAAGCTCCGCCTCCTGGGTTCAAGCGATTCTCCTGCCTCAGCCTCCCGAGTAGCTGGGATTACAGGTGCCTGCCACCACGCCTGGCTAATTTTTTGTATTTTTATTAGAGATGAGGTTTCACCATGTTGGCCAGGCTGGTCTCGGACTCCTGACCTCAGGTGATCCGCCTGCCTCGGCCTCCCAAAGTACTGGGATTACAGGCGTGAGCCACTGCACTTGGCCAGTAGGAATAGCTTCTTTACTCATAAGCTCTTGGCTAAAAATATCTATTTTAGCAAAAAAGGATGATAACTCAGGAGCTGCCCTGGGAATCTTACTTTGACTGTACTTATGGAATGATAAAAAACAAAAACAAAAAACCTGTGACTTAATTATAATCAGAACAAGACAGGAATAAGCTGGAGGCAGTGGTGCGTGCCTGCAGTCCCAGCTACTCAGAGGATCACTGGAGCCTGGGAGTTTGAATCTAGCCTGGGCAGCATAGTGAGACAACCCCCACTCCCCCCACATCTCTTAAAAAGAAGGAATAAGACAAAGAAACACTTTATCTCCAGATATCAGTTGAAGGTCATCCCCTTCTATCACAAATTTCATCTTTCTATATCACTCCAGCTTATTAAGCTGTTCAAACTCAGCAAAGGAGATGAGAAACCTGTTGAGGCAAGACAGATCCTGGAGAAAGTGATTACGTGATTAATTATACAGTCATTGAAGGCTATTATTTGCAAGAGAAAACATGCTAAAGTCAAACTCAATTTTTAAAATGCCCATTGTCCAATCCCTAGGTCACCTATGTCTTCTGAGTAAACATGAATGGACCATGTAATTACTATATAAACAACAAAATATAAAGGTAAGAACTGGTTTAAATGTGAGAGAGGACACAGGTGACATACACTACATTGGGTAGGTTATTTTATATTTTAGAGCTTCACTTTCCTTAACTATAAGAATACTGAATTATATAATCCATAAAGTTTCACCTAGAGTTAAAACTTAAAAAAAAAAAAAAAACAAAGCCTAGAGTATAAAAACACAAAGCCCTTGGGAGGCTGAGAAGCCTAGAGTATAAAATACAAAGCTCTTGGGAGATCCGAACATTTACATTTTCTGGCCAAATTTACCTTCATAGATACTTTTGGAAAATATGTGTTTTGTGACAAATATGACAGAGATTGTAAACAAAACTCATCCCTGTTTCTAAAAGTAGAAGAAGGGAAGAGATTATACTGGCTGCTATTGACTTTTAAGTGGTCTGAAATGCTAAACCAAAACTTTTTATGTGAATTAAATCTCTAAAGCATGAAGCCTTGACAAGTTCCATATAAAATGACATCGGGGAAATGGAACAAACTGTAAGATAAGATCAACTTAAAAATGATTTTAGGCCGGGCATGGTGGCTCATGCCTGCAATCCTAGTGCTTTGGGAGGCCGAGGTGGGAGGATCACTTGAGTCCAGGAGTTTGAGACCAGCCTGGGAAATACAGTGAGACCCCATCTCTACAAAAAAGCAAAAAATTAGCCAGGTGTGGTGTCATGCACTTGTAATGCCAGCTACTGAGGGAGGCCCTGAAGTGGGAGGATTGCTTTAAGCCTGGGAGGTCAGGGCTGCAGTGTGCCATGATCATGCCACTGTACTCCAGCCTGGGCAAGAGTGAGACTTTATCTCAAAAAAACCAAAAAAACCAAACCCTACCGTTTCTGCCTATATGTACTTTATATTCCAGCCAAACAAGTCCAATGGCCAAAAGTTTCTAGTGCTCCTAGGAAACATCCCACACTTTTCTGTCTGGAATCTTTGCCTGCATTGTTTCTTAAGTCTGAAGTGCCCATCCTTACAATCTCTAGTGCAACAAATTCATGCCATCCTCCAAGGTCTAGTTTTGTTTCTGTTTTTGTTTTTTTTTTGAGACGGAGTCTTGCTCTGTTGCCCAGGCTGGAGTGCAGTGGCGCAATCTCCACTCACTGCAAGCTTCGTCTCCTGGGTTCATGCCATTCTCCTGCCTCCACCTCCCGAATAGCTGGCACTACAGACACCCACCACCACGCCCGGCTAATGGTTTGTATTTTTAGTAGAGATGGGGTTTCACTGTGTTAGCCAGGATGGTCTCGATGTCCTGACCTTGTGATCATCTAGTTTTAAGAGCTCTGAAGATCCATAGTATATTGTGCCTTTCCTAATAATTCGAACTGGAACTAGGTCTCAAAATACTCTAAAATGTTTTTATGATATTTTCAATCAATGCCCACATCATCATACTGATAGAATGGTATTGAGAAATGGTAGGAGAAACAGTTGAATGAAAGTATTCTAAAATTCCTTCTCATCTTTATCAACTGCAGATGCTTAATGAGCCCCTCTTGGATGCTACTCTTTCTTGAGTCAGCTAAGAAGAGAAGTCTGGCTCTAAACAATTCGATCTGGAAAGAGATGGATGAGCCATTTCTTCACCTATATGTGGATCACCTGAAACTGAAACCTGAGTGTCCCGTCTCTTAATTTGTGGGTCACAGAATCCCACTAAGAATTGGAAGGACCTTAGCAGTCATTGCATGGTGCTCCTCAGTAATACTCAAATTCTATAATAACTGTTCAAACACCTATGGGAACTTGTCAGGCAAGTGTGTTGCTCCCTTCCAGAAATAATAAGGAAGCAAAATTCTCTTCCTAGCCAAGCCAAATACAGAAGATGCCCCATAGGAATCTGAATCTTGCTATTTGACAGTGATGATGCTGATGAACCGGTACTCCAAGCTAAACCAGTATTTGTACTGCAGATACTATTTGCATGTACTTCTCAAGCTGTAATTTGCTTCTAAGGCTGCACTCTGAAGAACTAATTTCTGGCCTGCAAAAAGAAACCTAGGTATCTTCACCCCCACTTTTGATATCAATACACTGATTTTTAAGCTCACTATGTGGCATTTAAATCTGTTGCAGACTTATCTTTCCAGACTAATCTCAATCTACTCTCCTTCACATTCATATGTTCCACTGAAACTGACCTACTCACTTTTCCTCAATAATTTTTTTTTTTTTTTTTTTTTTTTTGAGACAGAGTCTTGCTCTGTCGCCCAGACTGGAGTACAGTGGCGCAATCTCGGCTCACTTCCCTAGGTTCAAGCAATTCTCCTGCCTCAGCCTCCAGTGTAGCTGGAATTACAGGCAAGCACCACCACGCCCAGCTAATTTTTGTATTTTTAGTAGAGATGGGGTTTCACCGTGTTGGCCAGGCTGGTCTCAAACTCCTGACCTCAAGTAATCCGCCCGCCTCGGGCTCCCAAAGTGATAGGATTTACAGGTGTGAGCCACCGTGGCCAGCCCCTCAATAAAATTCAGCACTTTGACATTTGGGTTTTTTTGTTTTTTTTTTTTTGTTTTTTGTTGTTGTTTTTTTTTTTAATGAGGTATCAAATGTTTTTTTTTTTTTTAATTTATTTGTTATTATTATACTTTAAGTTGTAGGGTACATGTGCATAACGTGCAGGTTTGTTACATATGTATACTTGTGCCATGTTGAGACGGAGTCTCGCTCTGTCGCCCAGGCTGGAGTGCAGTGGCCGGATCTCAGCTCACTGCAAGCTCTGCCTCCTGGGTTCATGCCATTCTCTTGCCTCAGCCTCCCGAGTAGCTGGGACTACAGGTGCCTGCCACCTCGCCTGGCTAGTTTTTTGTATTTTTTAATAGAGACGGGGTTTCACCATGTTAGCCAGGATGGTCTCGATCTCCTGACCTTGTGATCCACCCGTCTCGGCCTCCCAAAGTGCTGGGATTACAGGCTTGAGCCACCGCGCCCGGCCAGCACTTTGACATTTGTATGCGTTTTCAGGCTTTTGTAATTCCCTGGAATTCCTTTTATTTTTTCCCCCTCATTTTCTATATATGTACTAATCCTGCCATTATTTATCCAACATTTATCATGCACTAAAATGTGCCAGAATTAAGGATAAAGCTAAAACATGGCCCTTGATCCTTTTGATTTATAACCTAGCTCATTCCAGGAGGTTTTTCTTTAATTCTGAAGAAATCTCTCTTTTTTGAATTTCCCTAGCAATCTTCTCTTACAGAAATTTTGACTTACAGTTTTTAAAATACAAGATAAAAAATGCCATATGTACACAGCAAGCTTCTTGAGGGCAAGAAACTTTCTAATTTCTACTTCCTTACAGCATCTGGAAGAATACTCACCAAATACTCATTCCTTCAAAAAGTATTTATTAATTCTTACAAAATCCATATAGGTTTCAATATCTACCTATAAGGAGTCTGATGCAAAAAGACAAGGTAATTGCCTTTGTGGGGCTACTCAAGAGGAAGAAGTCTCTCTCAGTAAAAATGTAAGCAAATAAATGTATATAGGAAGGTATAATTACCATTTGTGTAAGTGGTATGAAGGAAGTACAACAATGAACTGTGGCAGAGAATAACGGTGAAAGAACTAATTTAGATGGAGGACAGGTGGGAAGAGAAAGAGAGGCGCTTTCTTAAAGGAGCTGACTTTAAACAGACTGATAAAGTAATTATTGGAGTTTAGTAGAAGGAAAGAGAAGAGCCTTCCTGAGTCAAGAGAAGAAATAAGGGATCAAGGTCAACATGAACAGAACATACTGAGTGAGTGGAGGACAGGCTAATGAGGTTGAAGAGGGAAGCATAAGGAATACTCAATTAAGAATGTCTGGGTGCGGTGGCTCACACCTGTAATCCCAGCACTTTGGGAGGCCAAGGAGGGTGAATCACTTGAGGTCAGGAGTTCAAGACCAGCCTGGCCAACGTGGTGAAACCCCATCTCTACTAAAAATACAAAAGTTAGCTGGGTGTGGTGGCGCATGCCTGTAGTCCCAGCGATTTGGGAAGCTGAGGCAGAAGAATCACTTGAACCCAGGAAGCAGAGGTTGCAGTGGGGCCAAGATCACACCACTGCACCCCAGACTGGGTGACAGAGCGAGACTGTGTCTCAAAAAAAATCTTAAAGGTCATTTTAAGGATTCTAAGTTTTATTTCCAGGGCAATTGGAAGCTATTTAAAGGTAATATGCAGGGACTCATATTTCCTGTTTAAGTTCTTTGAGGCAGATTTACAGAAGGAAAAAAAATCTTTATAGATTAAATCCTTATGGCTACAGCTGTTTAATTTGCCAGGATCCAGAATGTCATCTGTTAAAACTTTAGAAAGGCGAGAAGAACCATCTAATTTCTGGGCATAAAATGATTTGAGGGGCACAACTTAAGAATATTCTACAAGAACTAGTAAGGAATTTAAAATTTTTAAATTCCTGCATTTTAAGAGCTTCTAAAAGTCACATGCCACCCTTTGCAAGTGAGATTTGATCTTACAGACTATTGTTAAGAATCTGGGGGTAGGAGTTAAAAAAAAAAAGTCTGGAGTCAGAAGGTATTCAAATCCTGGCTCTACTAATTGCTAGCTGAGTCTCCTGGTGACATTTCCTATAAAAGTCCCATGGGTCTTTAGTTTGGCAACAGGTACTACACATAGAGATTGCTACAGGGATCGTGTCCAGATTTCAACAGCATATTGGTAAAATGACTCAAATTTGGTACTTGCTCAATAAATAATAATAAATATGATGAAGGTGAACTAGCCTCTGGGAGGGACAGGGGCAGCAGACTGTGAGACACACAGTAAGTGCTTAACAGACTACACAATCTATACTATACATCTTCAACAGTGATCTAAACAAACTCCACTTGTCACTCATACCTCTTCAAAACATTAGTGATTAATGTAAGACTTGTGAACTCCAGATTTTATTTATTTTTTAATTTAAAAAGAACTTTGAGACAGAGTCACACTCTGTTGCCCAGACTTGAGTGCAGCGTCACGATCTCTGCAACCTCTGCCTCCTGGGTTCAAGGGATTCTTGTGCCTCAGCCTTCCAAGTAGGTGGGATTACAGGCGTCTGCCACCATACTTGGATAATTTTTGTATTTTTAGTACAGACAGGGTTTCATCATGTTGGCCAGGCTGGTCTTGAGCTCCTGACCTCAGGTAATCCACCTGCCTTGGCCTCCCAAAGTGCTGGGATTACAGGTGTGAGCCACCATGCCCGGCCTGTGAACTCTAGATTTTAATGCCCTGCTTTAGAGATAGTGAAAACACACTAGAGTGAGTCAAAGATGTGGATTCTGGTTCCAACTGTATCACTTTCAGTTCTTTTGGGGAAACACCTATCTCAGGGTTTCAACCTCAGCATTAACAACATTTTGGACTGGATAATTCTTTGTTGTCTGAGCTGTCTTGTGTATCGCTGGGTGTTTAACAGTATCTCTGACCTCTACCGACTCAATGCCAGTAGCATTGCCCCAGTTTTGACAACCAAAAATGTCTCCAGACATTTCTCAATTTGTCCTATCCCCTTGAGAAGCATTTTCATATTCTGAATTTCAATGTCTCATCTGAAACTCATGGAAACATGGAGATAACATCTATTTTATCCTCCTTCAGGGTTACTATACGATTCAAATAAGATAATGAATGGGGAAAAAGAGGAGAGAAAAGGCCATATGTGTAAAAGCCTTATTATTACTCTGTGGTAATATTATCATTATGCTCTGTGAGAGCTCAACAATGAGGTTAACGCATTCATATCTTGTTTACAGAATTCACTATAAGGTTTAGGTAAAGGCTATATGCAGTCTAATATACCTTTTAGGTGGCTATTCAATAAGTACTTGTTGATTGATCGATTCTAAGTCTGGGTCCAACAGTAACTTTATTTACTTTTGTGGCATGTTCTCATGCACACTTTTTCTGAGAATTGCTGAGTCACAACATTGTAGTATGTTTCCAAACTTAACTCCACCTAAAAGAATAGGCCTAGATTAAACAAGAATAGTTATTCATTTTTCAGATGGAAAACTGAGGTAAAAAGGTTAAAGGACTAGCCAAGGTCACAGGGCAGTTAGTCTAGTGGTCGTCATTAGAAGCCTGATTCTGACCTCAAGCCCAGTGTTCTTTTTATTACTTGTAGCATGGTCTGTCTATCCAACTATCTCCTGTTCCTAATCTCTTAACACCAAGTTAGCTTTTTTTTTTTTTTTTTTTTGCATTTTAAGAGCAACTCAGAAAAATGGAGGCAAGGAAACAGCTGTAGTTTTGAGAGAGGCTTGGAAAAAAAAATGTAGACCTATTCCTATTGAGGCACAACTGGATATTCTCTACATTCAGGGTAAACCAATGTCAAGCTATCCTAGTGCTCTGACAAGTCTATGAAATCCTTGCCCATTAAGTTGTCCAGGAGCAGCTAAATCTTATCGTTACCCCCGCTCCAGGGCAGCTGTGTCCTGCAATGGTTCATACCATGCTGCTGGCATACAGTATGTGCTACAACTGTCACCTGCAGTATTCTTGGCTGCTCTACCTCTAAGTGGCTCTAAGTGGGGTGAAAATGGACTTCCATACAGCCCCAAGCTCTAGGCCACATTTTGGCATTCTGTGAGTAATGCACAAAAGCCCCAAATGCCTTTCTACAACTTGTATTTTCAGGGTCAGAAACAGAACTTTTGAGAATAATTCATAAACATGTCACCATTTATTCTACTCCTTTAAAATGTCAGATAATCTCTGATTATCATGGCTTTGTGTGAACTTTCATATGCTGAATGTTGTCACAGGGTTGTCACTCTCAAACACTGACTCAACAGTGTTCTGGATAATTCCCAGGCAAGGGGAATTGGTGGGCTGGAGCCCACCTTAATCTTTATAATGATTACAATTTGAAAAATATAAGACTAGAAATTTTTGTTCTAGCCCTGGTTTTCCATTACACTAGGTAACTTAGCCTTTCTGGTCACAGCTTCCTGAGTCAAGGAACACACTAATTCATCTTTAGAGCCTATTTTGGTCTAAAAAGTTTAGGTGCGTATAAGAACAGTTTCAGTGAGAAACAAATGCATACTTCACTTTTCGAAACGCACTCTGAATAATAGGGCTGGGCGCAGTGGCTCACATCTGTAATCCCAGCACTTTGGGAGGCCAAGACGGGCAGATCACTTGAGGCCAGGAGTTTGAGACCAGCCTGGCCAACATGG